CCTAATATTTATTTATTTTTTCACTCTACTGCCTCTGTTCTCTACTTATACTTGAATCCCCTTGACCAACCCTCTATTGTCATTTATTCTCAAATTTTTTATCTTTTATATCATTAATTCCCTATTTACTTATATGCATTTGTTGTTTAAACCTTATAAATTTCTTTTTTTTTTTTTTTTTTTGAGATGGAGTCTCGCTTTGTCACCCAGGTTGGAGGGCAGTGGCATAATCTTAGCTCACTGCAACCTCTGCCTCCCAAGTTCAAGTGATTATCCTACCTCAGCCTCCCGAGTGGCTGGGATTACAGGCATGTACCACCACACCTAGCTAATTTTTATATTTTTAGTAGAGATGGGATTTCACCATGTTGACCAGGCTGGTCTCGAACTCCCAACCTCAGGTGATACACCTGCCTCGGCCTCCCAAAGTGCTGGGATTATAGGTGTGAGCCACTGCGCCCAGCCATAAATTTATTTCTTACGTTTTTAATACTAAGAACACTCTTTCCTCCTCTGGTTGCTCTAATAGCAGGGTGTTTCTGTAGATGCAACAACTATAGATCCTCTCTGAAAATATTAGATTTTTAAAAAAGTTATTTCCTGAATTATCTATTTCCTCTGGGGTTAATTTTCTTTCCTTATCTTGGTCCCTCTCTTTAATGTTGTGTTTCTCTCAAATGTCTGGAGATCGTTGGCTATTCATTCATATTTATAAGTGAACAATAGATTAGTGTAATTAACATTAGTTTTTCTGAAACTTATGTAAGTCTGTTTTTCCACTGTCCTCCTCTGAATGGAGGTCTGATATGATCTGTTCGTGAGTTATGGAGAGATGGTTATTGGCAAGTGTTACTTTAGGGTATGCAGGCATGGAAAAGTAGAGATTCCCCTCCTCCCAGGTATCAAAAGTATGACAAATTTACTCTTGGGATGGAAAACTTTAATGTATTTTCCTTCACTGCAGAGCTACTTCTCCTGTTTCCTTTTCTTTATATCTGTGGTAGAATATTGCAGTTAACTCAGGTTCCTCTCTGTTTCTCTCTCAGGCCCCTATACCCACAGCAAGAGCTTTCCTCAAGTAGGCAGTTTACTTTCTCCAGAAAATTAGCTGATTTTAGCTTAGAATCAAATGCATCCACTGCCTTTTGTGCACTGTAAGGAGGAGGCTGCCCCTACTGTTTCAAAGGTAGAATTAAATTAATTTACCCTTGAAGATGGCCCATGACTCTTTCCTGCTTCTTGTATATATTCTTTCAGCCCATTTTCTCTGGAGCTACTTTCATTTTCCTAGGCATCTTCTCTTATACTTTAAGTTGTGGCTTCTTCTGCTCTGATCAATCTGACCTTTTCTGCTTTCTATCTTCCATGAATTCCTCACAACAGTTGATTTACGTCATGCTTTTGTTTTAGAGCATTGCTTTTAATTTGATTTTTAAGAAATCTTTTCTGAAATTAAGAAATTTGAGATAGCAAGAGAGATGGGCACATGAATTCAGTTTACTATCTTGATCCAATTTCTAAAGAAATCTAAGATGTTAGTTTAGACATCACATATCCAACTACATCAATCTTCTATTTAAAACACTCCCTCAGCTCCAGCATAAAGTCCAAGCTCTCTGGCCTAACATACTGGATCCTTAACCCAACTTTTGTTCATGCTGTCCATCACACAGGAAAGCACTGCCTTTTTCTCTGCCTGGTATCATTACCTGATGCTTACCTAACACTGTATTATAAATCCTTGTTTACATGTTCTGATTCACCACAAAAACTGTGAGACCAAGAGCAGAGATCTTACTAGTCCTTGACTTCTCAGCACCCAAAGAACCTATCATGTGGTAACTATTCATTTTATAAATGAGAATCAGGCATTAAAATGCCATGGAATCTTAGAGTCAGATCTCAGACCAGTGAACCACAGATAACAGAATTTAGAGCTAAAAGGGACTTTAAGATTATGTTTGTTAAACGAACAATGTTTTAAGGCCCAAGAACTCTGCAAACTTCCTTGTACTTCAGAGCAGAATAAATCACTCCATCAAATATAACCCCATTGTACATTATTCATGCCTTTCTTGCAGCCCTTCTCTCCCCAGTCTGTCATTAATTTTTTTTCTCAAGGATTAAGATAGTGCACGTTCATTTTTGTGTCACCTGTACTTTGGCATAAAGAAGATACTAACTCAGTATTTAGGGTGTGAGTGAATACATGAATGCTCAGGAGAGCAGAATTTTGTGCTGGTTTCTACTACTAACTCAGTCAAACGTAGAGAGTGAGTCACTTAATCTCTCTGAGTCTTAATTTCTTAGGCAGCAATTGTATTTGATTATTTCACAAGTGGAATCATCTGTGTGAAACCAATATGGAAAATAATGACATGCTACCATAATACAAAACATTTCCTCCATGTAAAACTAGTAAGGATATATAGAGCACTAAGCTAGTGCTGGACAAATGTTCTGAACTGAGGGAGAACAATGTCCTTCACAGTCTTAGTAGTTTTAATTGTAGATACTAAACCAGTACAAGTTTTTACCAAGCAGGTGTTATCCTCCCTGCCATATGGCATGAACCCCAGGGCTCTTCCTCCTCAATAACAAACAACATAGCTACAGCTTTACTGCAGTCTCCTTTATAAGACCTCAATGACATCTTTTTTTGTTCCTTGCCACAGTGAAAAGAAACCCAAACTGGGATTCAGAAGACCCCAGTTCTAATGTGGTTCTAATTATAAGTCTTCAGGAAACTCTGTTTTTCTGCCTATGAAATGGAGATGACAATACTTTCTACATAGGTAATTGTGAGGCTAATCATGCTTATATAAAGTTTTTAACACAGTGCATCGTAGGCACTCAATATTGATGGCTATCACTCTTCCCACAAAAGCATAAAGACATTTGAGCCATGAAGCACAACTTGGCTTAAAGCCTCTTCTTCAATAATTTACTATTCAAAGATCCTGTATTTGCAAATTCTTTCCCATCTTTTAATTACATCTCTTCCATTTGATGAAAGGCAGCAGGAAGCGGGGGAAAGCAGTATAGGCTGGGAATCAGATGCCTATTGCCATTAACTCTTTTCCATTTCAGTTTTATCATCTATAAGGATAATAACTTACCTCAGTAAGCTCCTGTGAGGATTCAGAGAGTCGGTAAGAAAGGATCCAACAGGTTGCAAGGCACTGAACATGTGAATATTGTTTTTTATAATCAATAAGTATAAAAATGACTCAGAATAAACCAGTACCCACGGTGGAAGCATGGTTCAAAGTATTTTGATGGTAACTCGGTATTGTGTTAGAACTTAACCACTCTCCTGCTTAAGTTCTTTAAGCTTCTCATCACCTTTAAGATAAGTCAAACTCCTACATGATTTGTCCCGCTTACCACTACCACTCCTCCTCATCGCCCACCTCTACTTCCTTCACAATTCACATTCTAGTCATAACAAACCACTTCGCAGTTCCCTGTGCAAGTATACCTCATGAACTTCCTTGCCCACACACATGCTATTCTCTTTCTGTGTGGAATATCCGCATTTCCCCTTAATCTTTGCTCTAGATAACTAACTCATTCAACTCAGACTTTACCATCAGGAAGCTTTCTCTGACACCTCCAACCTTTCATTCAGTAAATGTTTACCAAATGCCAAGACTTGCCAGATGCAAACGGTATAACAATTAACAAGTCAGAAACAGCCCCTGGCTTCATGAAGGTTAGCATGCTGCACTATAATTATCTGTCTGTGCCTTCAAGCACAAATGGGAATCATGAAGAATTGGCTGCTTGAGGTCTTCAACCTCAAGACTGGGAGGTTCTTAGGTATTGGGACATGTCTGACCATCTCTGTAATGTCACTTATTCACACCGGACTTGGTATAGTATAAACTAGGGCTTTTGCAAATGTTTAGTAAATCAGAATGGCATAACCACCTATATACAAGAGACATCAGATGTAAAAAATAAATAGCAACCAGGTGTGGTGGCTCACACCTGTAATCCTAACACTTTGGGAGGTCGAGGCAGGAGGATCACTTGAAGCCAGGAGTTTGAGAACACAAAATGAGAATCCCATCTCTACCAAAACTTTTTAAAAATTAGCTGAGTGTGGTGGCTTATGCCTATAGTCCCAGCTATTCAGAGGGCTGAGGCAGGAGCATCACTTGAGCCCAGGAGTTTGAGTTTACACTGAGCTATGATCACACCATTGCACTCCCGCCTGGACAACAGAGCAAAACCTCATCTCTTAAAAAAAAAAAAAAAAGGCAGTATTCTCTTACATGCATCACAATTTATTATTTATAGGACCCTTTAAAATACATCAACATCGCATTTTATCCTTGTAATTGCCCTGGGAAATAGAATTTGTAAGTTGAGAGAGACACAGAGATCCTCTAGTTTAATCCCCAGCCAATTCTTCATGATTTCTGTAACATCCATTCGAGTGTCAAAGCATTCATTACAACTTCAGAGGACAGAATGAATGACTTTAAATGAATAAAATCTGTTCCCTTCAACAATTAGTACTAATCTTGGTTTTGCAGACTCCATAGACCAAAGAGGAAATTTTCTTCTAAATGTAGGTATCTGAAGACACGTCCAGGTAAGGGCAGAGTATATCATTCTCATTTTATTGATGAAGAAATTGAAGCTCAAAGAGGCAAACTGACTTTCCCAAGGTTCAAAGCTACAAATTAAAAAACTGAACCTAAAGCCATATCTTCTGGTTCCAGAATTTCCAGAACATTTTACAACTATTATGAATCCATAAAAATTAAAAATAAAAAAATTATCACAAAGAAAGAATTTCTAGGACATTAAAGCTGAAAGGGACACTCCTATTTATTATATCTAATTTCTTTATTGGATAGATAGGAATTCTGAGGCCAAGGGTGCAGAAGTGACTAATATGACTGCCTCCAGCTCAGGCTCTGCCTCTGCCACACCGTCTTGATCCTTACCTCCACGTCTGCCCACATCAACATAGAGTAAATACTTACCAAGGCGTTAGAAGAATTATAATCCTCAGCTGACTTATCTGCACAGGAAGAAAGACAAGGGACTTAGTCAATAAACAATTACAGTTAATTCTTTCTTGACAGCAAAAGAAGTCTATCTGGTCAAGCACATGCCAGATTCAGAGAATAGTAATAGTATGACTGGTACTACAGGCTAGATATCATGCTAAACGCATTGTACATATCACCTTCTTTAATCCTCATTATGGCTCTGAGTACTGTTATTATATCTACTTTTATTGATTTGGAAACAAGTTCAGAGATGTTAAGTACAGTTGTGTGTGGCTTAGCAATAGGGTATGCTCTGTGAAATGTGTCATCAGGTAATTCTGTCATTATGGGAACATCATAGAGTGTACTTACACAAACCTAGATGGTATAGCCTGCCACATACCTGGGCTATATTGTATAGCCTATTGCTTTCTAGGCTACAAACCTGTACAGCATGTTACTGCAGGCAACTGTAACACAATGGTAAGCATTTGTATATCTAAACATAGAAAAGGTACAATAAAAATATAGTTCAAAAGGTAAATAAAAGGATATATCTACATAAGCACTTACCATAAATAGAGCCTGCAGGACTGGAAGTTGCTCTGGGTGAGTCACTGAGTGAGTGATGAGTAAATCTGAAGGCCTAAGTAGGACATTACCAGTATACACGTAGGCTACACTAAATTTATTTTAAACTTAAGTAATCACTAGGTGATAAGAATTTTTCAGCTTCCTTATAATATTATCAGACCACCATTGTATATGCGGTCTGTTGTTGTGGCACATGACTGTTATCTGTCCAGGGTACACACAGGTTAAAGAGAGGAATTAGATTCGAATTCTGGTCTCATTCTAAATACTATGCTAGAACTGTATCCACATCATCAGCTATATCACTGTAAGGCTTAAATAGCTAAGAAAATCTGCGTTCTAAAAGAAAAGGAAAGAATCCATAGCACCACCCCTGAGTCATCCATGCCAAATCATGGCCAGTCTCCAGCTTCAGCTTTCATAAAGGATCCTTCTATATCCATATCTACTGCCCCCCAGGGACAAAAGGACTAAGGTTGAGGAAAAGACAGGTATTAATCCTGTCAAGTCTAATTAAAGGTAGTGTCTTGTTTTCCAAGAATAGAGTCAAGCTCCCTCAATGAAGCAATTACCATGTTTCATTGATTCGGAGAGGTACATTTTTCACATTAAAGTCTCTGAAACAGAGGTGTGTCCTACCATCCATGTTATGGTTTAATTGGCAGCTTTATTTTCCTTGATTGGTATGGAAATAATTGTGCATCTTACAATCAGTGGTATCTTAGACTTCATAAAATGTGAAAGAGAGACCCAACGGAGATCTTAGCAAGAAATAAGTTTAAAGACCAGTTAATGTCTTCAGTTTTGTTCTTTAATTCCCATGGGTCCAAGAAAAACTGACTTTGCCAATTCACCACTAATGGAATTGAGGAGGAGAAATATTCTACCAAATCCAATATATTCCTCACCAAGAACCAAGCCCAGAGAATGTACAATCCCAATTCCATCATATAAAAAGTGCTAGATACAGCTTCTTTGACCCTACAGCAAATCATGAACCCACACAGCAGGAAATAAGGCAAGCTCTGACAACATGTTCTTATAACAAATCCAGAATAGCTAGCAGTATTCTGGAGAAATAAATTCAGGATATACTTTAAACATAATTCATTTGTTTTTTCTTGTCCAGAAGACTATCAACTTTGGCAGAGTACAACACTATGCCTTCGCTGCACTACCCCCAACTTTATGTACTGCTAGTATTTTTGAAGATTGGGTATTTTGGTAATAAGTATACTTGTTATGTCATATAAAAAATAAGTAAACACTCCCTTCAAAGGTGATGAACTATATATCAAAATCAAATTCCAAAGCACAGAATGACGGAACAGAAAGTACTTCCAGCACTTTCATTTACAGATGAGTAAAATGAGGTTCAGAAAAGGAAAAAGATTGGTTCAAGGTCACGTAAGTCATTGGCAAAATAGGGCTAAGACCCAGCTGCGCTGTCAATCTCATCTACTTTTTCCCTATTACATTAGCTACTAACCGGTATAAAAAATTAAGTGTTGCTGGGCGCAGTGGCTCACACCTGTAATCCCAGCGCTTTAGGAGGCCAAGGTGGGTGGATCACAAGCCTCGCCAATATGGTGAAACCCTGTCTCTACTAAAAATACAAAAATTAACTGGGCATAGTGGTGTGCGCCTATAGTCCCAGCTACTTGGGAGGCTGAGGCAGAAGAATTGCTTGAACCCAGGAGGCGGAGGTTGCAATGAGCCAAGATCGCGCCACCGCACTCCAGCCCGGGTGACAGAGCGAGACTCCATCTCAAAAAAAAAAAAAAAAAATGAAGTGTTGAAAAAATAGAAACACTTGACCAAAATTAGCATGGAGGATTGTGTTTGGGTTATAGGCAGCAAAGGAGTTAAAGGCCCAAGTCAAAATACATTTCCATCATGTATCAGCTGAGTCACTTGGGGTATGTCACGTAACTTCTCTGAGTCTAATTAATTTCTTTGCGTATATAAAAGGAGGATAATAGTCCTTGCCCTGCCAGTCTCCTAAGGCCATCATAAGAATCACATGAGGGAGCCAGGCTCAGTGGCTCATGCCAGTAATCCCAGCACTGTGGGAAGCTGAGGCGGGCAAATCACTTGAGGTCAGGAGTTCGAGACCACCCTGGCCAACATGATGACCCATCTCTACTAAAAACACAAAAATTAGCTGGGTGTGGTGGCACACACCCGCAGTCCCACTTACTCAGGAGGCTGAGGAAGGAGAATCACTTGAGCCCAGGAGCACAGGCTGCAGTGAGCTGAGATCGTACCACAGGACTCCAGCCTGGGTGACAGAGCAAGACTCTGTCTCAAAAAAAAAAAAAAAAAAAATCACGTGAGGTAATTCACATGTGAGCATATACAAATTGAGGTAGTATTATCATAACTAATAGTATGAGAGGATGGCAAATAGGGAAAGGAGAGATATGACACTTTAAAAAACCTGTGCCAAATATGCACTTTTGCCTAGAGTTGGCCCTAGTCTTCAACTTACAGAAAATTAAAATTCTGGCATATATATATATATACACATGTGCACAAATTTGTACATACAAAAGTAGATGTACACACATGTATCTGTACATACACACTCAATATTATTCATATATGCATGCATGAATGAACATATACATAATTACCTGAATGTGTATATTTATACATATGTTCGTTCATGAATACCTGAGTGGACTTTATCTTTGTTCATGAATACTTAAGTGGGCTTTAATTCCAAATATATGCAAACCCATAGGGCTATGCCTCTGTTTACGTACACACTTACATGCCATTAGCACATATCTACATACATACATGCAGGAAAGATCCTTCCCAAGACTTAGCCACTGAGGTTTTCAAAGACAGCCTCTAACCTGATGTTTCCATGACAAGTTCCTTAACATAAACTCTAATTTCCTGACTAGAAAACTTTCCCACTCAGTAGCCCTCCACCCCAATTCCTCCTTGAAATGACTCAGTCCCTCAATGGAAGAAGTGAGACAGACTCAGCGGGGCCAGACGAGAGGAAGGAAATACTGCTGGGCACATGCATGGCCCTCTCCTGGGCACCACCATGGCAGCATGAGTGAAGCTGTAGCCTGTCATCTCCACCATCTGTGCCCTTGAAACAAGCCAGATACTGGCTGGGGAAAGCATCCTTCAAATTCCCTAGTTCATCCTGGTTCTCACCTTCCCAACAATACTGCCATTTGAAGGAGGCAACATGAGTAAAGAGCCTGGAAATTAAAAGATTAGCCCACTATTAATTTAACATATTAGAAAGGCCTTCTTTGGCTCTCACACCTGCAAAACAAGGGAGAAAGTAGGTCCTCTGTGGAAGGAGAGCCTCCAAATAACATTATTAGGGGCAAGCAGTAAATTCAAAAGGTGATGGTATAGGAATTAGGAGACCTGGGTTCTAATCCCAATTCTGCTATTAAAAACACTCTGAAAAATATAGTCCCTTCTACTGAGGGTACATGTAAAGAAATTTATTATTTAATGGCCTGTTTTTCATTTAACTAATAAAAATTAGTTCCCTGAGGAAGACATACATTATTAGTGTTATTAAATAACTAATAATAATATTAACAATAATGATGATAATGATAGTTACATTTCTATGGTGATGTTTTACAACTTATAAAGAACTTTCACATCTGTCGGCTCACTTATTTCTCACTATAACCTCTTTTTTTTTGAGACAGGGTCTCAATCTGTTGCCCAGGCTGGAGTGCAGTGGTGTGATCCTTGCTCACTGCAACCTCCACCTCCCAGGCTTAAGTGATCCCTTCACCTCAGCTTCCCAAGTAGCTGGGACCACAGGGATGCACCACCACACCTGGCTAATTTTTGCATTTTTTGTAGAGACAGGGTTTTGCCATGTTGCCCAGGCTGGTCTCGAACTCCTGACCTCAAGCGATCCTCTTGCCTCGGCCTCCCAAAGTGTTGGAATTACAGGCGTGAGGCACTGTGCCCAATCATTTCTCACTACAGCCTCTTGAGATAGGAATTATTCCCATTTTGAGGCGCAAAGAAATGAAGCGACTGTTAGAATCTAGTAAGGGTCAGAATCTAGACCTTCTAGCACAAAATCTGTGTTCTCTCTGTATAATACCATACTATTTTTAAAAAAACATGTGCAGTGTCAGAGCGAAGACTTAAGTTTGATGCAAAGTCCATCATCTTGGCTGTCAAATTCCAAAATTCCACGTTAGTTAAAGTGCCACTTCCACTCTTTCAACTACTCTGTTCTCTTATCCCAGACCAATAGGCATGTGAGTTTTCCCATCCAGATTAAAACCATCTCTTGCTGAGACTGCCCGGGACACAGTTTTCATACCTGTAAAGCTCATGTATTTCTGGCTGTTGGATGTCTTCTTTGAGTTGTAAAACTCCAACACATCCAGAACAGCCTGCGGGTTTTTCTTCTGCTCCGACTTAGTGATATTTGATGTCTGAAGCAAGCGGGCCCACTGCTCTGGCATTCCCTATAAGAGAGACATGCAAGACGAACAGGAAGGCACAATCACAGTGGACCCTGAAAGAACATCAGAGCTAACTCTGACACTTGCTAGCAGCAAAAGATGCATTTGTTAGTCATTCCTTTCTCTCTATACCCTCAGAGTTTACATAAGCCTCTTTTATAATATCTTTCTCATTGTATTAGTCATTTCTTAAGATGTCTGCTCCTTCACCACGCTATACCTCCAGGATGGTAGGATAGGATGCTGTTCCTGCATGATCAGTGCCCCACACAGAGCCTGCTACCAAGCCTACCACTTAACAGAGGTTTATTATTTACAGAATGGAGATGGAAAGGCTTCTCTGGATACAATTTTAGCGATGCAAGTGTCCCACTGATGAATGTGAGAAAATTGTAATCAGGGTCTCAGGCAAAGACAGAAGCATCAGGAAGATGAGAAAGGGTTAAATCTAACAGTGCACAGCCAGAGCTCTAAAAGACTAAAGACTTTTCTGTGACCCAGGACTTACCGTAAACTCCCCTGTGACAGCATCAAAACCAACATGAATTGTGTGTTCAAAATCTGAAGGGAGAGAAATCTCTGGCCGCTCTTTCTCTTTCTTTTTATTTGCTGCAAGAGAAACAGGGAAAAGGAAATAAAAAACAGGAACATTATTGTTTTTAGGCTTATTTTAGCTCTTTATTGCGCTGTAGTCTCCTTGAGAGGGCAAAGTCTATCTATTAATATTTCACATATGTTGAAGACCCCAATTATGGACCTGGATTGGAGCAGATACTCAATGCATGTTTAAAGACTTAATTTCTTGTTGAACTAAAGTAAGATGGTGGCTCATGCCTGTAATCCCAGCACTTTGGGAGGCCAAGGCAGGCAGATCGCTTGAGTCCAGGAGTTCAAGACCAGCCTAGGCAACATGGCAAAACCCTGTCTCTACAAAAAATACAAAAATTAGCTGGACATGGTGGTGCATGCCTGTAGTGGCAGCTACTTGTGAAGTTGAAGCAAGAGGATCATTTGAGCCCAGGATGTAGAGGTTGCAGTGAGCCAAGATCATGCCATTGCATTCCAGCCTGGGCGACAGAATGAGGCCCTGTCTCAAAATAAAATAAAATAAAATAAAATAAAATAAAATAAAATAAAATAAAATAAAATAAAATAAAAGGAGAGGCAAAAAAAATGTGTGTCAGAGTTAACAGTCCTGGTTTTACCAGTAACTACCCAGTTGATATAGGGTAAGTCTTCTTTTTTGTGAAGCCCTCCTTGATCTCTAGGCTGGGCAGTTCTTTACCCTCTCTGTTCCTATAGCACCCAATATATATAATAGTAATTGACTACTATAAGTGTTTATCTTCCATACCAGACTGAATTCTAAGTACAGGGGCCATGTCAAATTAGTCACAGCTTCCCAGAGGCTAGCACACACCTGGCACAAAGTAGGTGCTCAGACAGTAAGTGAAGAAAGGAAAAAATGACCAGACATTTACCTCAACTGGGCAAGGAGTTCAAGGAATCTGCCTAAGACACAAAAATTCTCTCCAGGGCAGGAATAAATGTTCCTTTCAGCAGCTCTGGCCTGACTTTCACAACACTTGTTACCCAGCACCTGTGAACCTTATTTTAAAATCCTGTTGTCTGGGAGCTCAATACACTAACCAAAAGAAATTCTGAAGTTCTAATACCTCCACAGACCCAGCATAACCCTGATAAAAGGTAGCAAAATGAGAAGGAAAACACAAAAAGGTCTAGAGTTCAAGCCAGTTTCACCTCTACCTTACCACAATGCGCGCGCGTGTGCATGCGTAGAGAAAGAGAGAGAGAGACCAGGATCTCTGCTGTCTCATCTAAACAAGGGCGAGTATGAGCTGGATGATCTTAAGGGTCCCTCAAGCGCCTACATTCTGTGAGTCTATGAAAACAAGAAGCTATGCCTTCTCAAAGCTCTGCAGTTAAGATTCCTTCCTGACACGACATTCCACAGTTTTAAATAGGTATTTCATACATATCATGTAATACAATCACCACAATCCTGAGGCAAGTTTTACTTGCAGATTAGAAAATTTGGGAACAGACTTGCCTACAATCATTAAGTAATTAAAGTCCAAAAAGTCTGGCATCAAAGCCAAGGTTCTTTACATTCTATTTTACCTCCCCTAAAACATTTCAAGTTGAATCAAGAAAACATACTTCAGTGTAATAAGAAGAAATGACATTAAGAACTTGCTATGTATACAAAAATGATGTCAATATAGTATTTTTCTTCATTCTTACAATCCTACGAGACAGATATTACTACCATCATTCTTACAATCCTATGAGATAAATATTACTACTGTCATTTTACAGATGAAGAAACTGAATAATTTACTCATACAGCTACTGAGAGCTGGGATTTGAACCCAGGTCTGATTCCAAAGGTTCATTCTTCAGTATCTTAATGAGAACCATTTGCCTACATGCCAAGTGCTAGGGTTTAAGCTATTTATGTACTTGGCAATTTCCCTCTCAGAAGCAGCTGCTTTGAGAAAGACAAGGCTAAGGGGTATACCAGGGCCCCAAGTCAAGCAGTCCTTTATGACATAAGTCCATCTGTCTTTCTCATAGCCAGAATGCACTGGAACATGTGGCAGGGCTTTGGAACTACTTTCTGTTTCTAAATTCCCTCTGATCTAGTCACTTAGGGAAGTACAATTATATTTGTGTTTTATTTCAATTTTTATTTTTTATATCTATGCATGTTTATACATTAGTTCTATTATATATAATTGATATACTATATAATACATCACAGGCATGAACTGTCAAATGCAGAAGAAACTTTAGTAAAGGACGCCCAAAAAGAAAGTTAGCTCAAAGCATGAGTAGTTTACAGAAAAGAGTTCCAGGGAAATGGAATCATTTAATACATGAACACACAGGGTAATGCTAAAGTCAGCTCTGCTTCTACTGAGCACTCTTTACCCTGCAACCTTTGAATATACCTCACACATTCCCACCTCCAAGTTTTTGCTCGCTTTTTCTTCTCCTTGTTTGGAATGCTCTCTTCTCCTTCTCCCTATCTCAGCCATCTTTTAAAGACTGGCTCAGGTCCCACTTTTTCCAGGAAGGATTTCCTGACCTTTCTTCTTCCTGTTAATTCCCAAGACACTGAGTCTGCTACACCACCAAGCATCTAGTCATTTCCTGTCTTATATGATTCCTTGCCAGTTTAAAAATCCAAAATGTAAGCTTCTTGAGGACCAAAATTATCACTTCCAATTACAATCACTATACTTCTGAATTTCAATCCAGCACATGGCTTACTGGATTGAAGAATACTCTAGAAAATATTAGGGAATGGCCAGGCGCGGTGGCTCACGCCTGTAATCCCAGCACTTTGGGAGGCTGAGGCAGGCAGATCACCTGAGATCAGGAGTTCAAGACTGGCCTGGTCAACATGACGAAACTCCATCTCTACTAAAAATACAAAAATTAGCTGGGCGTGGTGGCACGTGCCTATAATCCTAGCTACTCAAGAGGGTAAAGCACGAGAATAGCTTGAACCGGGAGGCAGAGGTTGAAGTGAGCTGAAATTGTGCCAATGCACTCCAGCCTGGGTGACAGAGTGAGACTGTGTCTCAAAAAATAAATAAAGAAAGTATTAGGGAGTGATTCTAGAGACCATGTAATCCCATTCCCTGAGGAAAGAGGCCCAGGGAAGTAAGTTGACTTGTCCTGATTCACAGAGCACATGACTGTAAGTCCACCTGATCAAGTCTTTCACTCTTTATTATACCCCGATCCCTACTGAGATTTGACTGGAATCAACTACTAACTGAAATAACAGTTTAACATAGTGGAGTACAAAAATAGCAATGACTTGGCTGAAGTGGGAAAGGAGAGAAGTAAAAGGAATGGGGAAATCTAGGTGGCAGGATTTAGCTTGGGTACTGCATAATTTTTTTTTTTTTCAGACTTGTTGCCCAGGCTGGATGGAGTGCAATGGCATGATCTCGGCTCACTGTAACCTCCACCTCCCCGGTTCAAGCAATTTCTCCCTCCCTCAGCCTCCCAAGCAGCTGAGATTATAGGCACCCACCACCACACCTGGCTACTTGTATTTTTAGTAGAGACAGGGTTTCACCATGTTTACCAGTCTCGAACTTCTGACCTTGGGTGATCCACCCACCTTGGCCTCCCAAAGTGCCGGTATTACAGGCATGAGCCACCGTGCCCGGCCTGGTACTGTGTAATATTTAGACTGAGTATTCACCAGTTGAGGATCACCAGCAGAAAACAGGATTCAAGAGGCAGGAATACAGAAGAGAAATGGAGAAGTCATACAGTCCTAGAGCCACCTGGAACCCAATTAATCCCTTCTGGGAAGTAACAATCATCCCCTTCACCTGTGTACAGCCCTTCACCAAGCTCTGCCAGTCATTGTCTCACTGGCTCATCACCACAAACCCAGGAGCTAAACAGCTGAGGTCAAGGAATTAAAAGAAATTTCTGTTAGTGGAAAGAATCTCAGAGGAAGGATTCAGTATTATCGTTGCCAGTAACTCACTGGGTGACCCTGGAAAAGTCTGAGTTTCAAGCCTTCAATCTGCAAAATAGGACAATGGTGCATGCTCTGCATACAGATGAAGGTAAGTAATAAACCACCTTTCTGGAGAAGATAATACCTGAAAGAAGTCACAAAGGATGAACAGGGGTTAGCCAGACCGAGATGGGAAAGGGCATTTCCAAAAGAAACAGAATAAGCAGAGGCCAAGAGAAGTAAACAGTGTGATCTTTCTTTCTTCTTTCCACCTGTTCAGCAAGTCAACCAAATTTCATAAACTCTTACCAGATTCACAAAGCACATGATTGCAGGCAGGAAGGCACTATGAGCTTCAGACTGAGGGAAGACACAATGGAGAAAATAAAGCAAACCCAGGATCCTGATGGTCCCATATCCCAGGGTTATAGTATCCCTGGGACTACTGCTGTGGTAGCAAATATTTTATGATGACTAGAAATATGTCTGCAGGAATCTGGTGAAAACTCATGTCTACACAAAAACTTGTATGTGAATGTTCATAGCAGCTTATTCATAACAGTCAAAAAGTGAAGGCAACCCAAATGTCTCTCAAGTGATGAACAGATAAAATGTAGTACATCCATATACTATTATTCAGCCATAAAGAGAATGAAGTCCCGATCCATGCTACAACATGGATGAACCTTGAAAACATTATGCTAAGTGAAAGAAGCCAGTCACAAAGGGCCATATACTGTGTAATTCCATTTATATGAAATGTCCAGAATAGGCAAATCCATAGACAGAGAGTAGATTAGTGGTTGCCAGGGGAGAAGGGAGAAATGAGGAATGACTGCAATGAGTATGGGGTTTTTTTTCTGGAGCGATGAAAATGTATTGAAGTTAGTTGTAATGGTTGTACAATCTTATGAATATACCAAAACCCACAGAATTGTACATTTTAAGATGGTGACTTGTATGGCATGCGAGTTATATCTCAATTTTTTTTTAAAAAGTGAATGTAATTTACTACATTTAGAAAATAAAGAAGAAAATATATATAATCAGTTCAATTAATGCAGAAAAAAGCATTTGCTGAAATGTGATATCAATC